CGCGGAGAGAAACCGGTTTTCATACGTGCGTATCTGAAGTTAATAAAATAACTATAACTTATATTCTACTGGGAATTTCTTTTTAAAATTTTAGGAGGGAGTTTTTGAATGTAAATGGAAGCAATTTATGTAAAAAAAAAATTTTTGATTTTTTGAAAGTTTCGCATGAGACTGTCCCCTTAACTTATTATCATGGCTTGTTTATGTTTGCAAAAGTCTTATCAGCTAACATGTTTCTGTAAATATGGTAAATATGTAGGTACATACCTAGCGGGTTTTGCAACTTTAATATTCTCGCATCCCATGAGCCATCGTTTCTTTTCGCGTTAGTCTTATTCACGGAGCTCTTGTAGTTTCCATTTTTACGTGAATACTTGAGATCCATTTTTTTCTTGGACTTCATATTTCTTTTCTTTGTGATGTTTGGGCAAACATATCCTACAAAAACCAGGTTTCGCAAATAGGGAAACAATATATTTCCGTCTTTATGTAGTTCTATATTGTCTACTTTTGTTATTCATTTCATATCAGTTATATACTGTTTCTTTTTTTGTCAATAAGTTTATTTTTTTCAACTTTGACTTATTTATTTCACTTATATTTGACTTTCATATTCCATGCATATGCTTTTTTAACCAACAAGAATCGTATAAGTACACATATTTCGTACATATACAGATATGACAAGTTTTTAACTACCTTATACGTTATTCAGTATGTGGAACAAAGATAACACTTAATTGTTTGAATATGAGTGAGACACAATCCACGCATGTTGGAGTGGCGGGTCTAACTTTTAAACAGTGTTGCCAAATTTCTGTTACATCATTCCTTCTAAACTATTAGTAGGATACATGAGTGTAACATAATATTTAAATCTACTACAGTTCATTGTAGAATGAAAATTAATATTGCCCCAACAAAACTTACATGAAGTAATCATGTAACTGTTATTTTTTAAACGATTATAATATAATTACTTTATTAATTAACAAAGAACATTGAATTGAGAAATTGATATGTGACAACAGCGTGAACTAAATAAATAACGCACTTCAGTAGACAGATAGTATAAACGGTGTACCCCCTCTACGAGTGCATAATTTCTCCTCAATAGAATAGGCAGTGCTTATCGGAACAGCAGGTTTATGAATAACGGTTTCTTAATATTGTTCCGAAGCTATTTTCTTGTGGCATTGTAAATTAATTACTATTTAACTGGGAATAAGCCACAATTAAAGATAAAAATACGTTTATTGACGTTTCAATTTCCACTTTCATATTCCATGCATATGCTTTTTTAACCAACAAGAATCGTATAAGTACACATATTTCGTACATATACAGATATGACAAGTTTTTAACTACCTTATACGTTATTCCACGCATGTTGGAGTAGCGGGTCTAACTTTTAAACAGTGTTGCCAAATTTCTGTTACATCATTCCTTTTAAAATATTAGTCGGATACATGAGTGTAACATAATATTTAAATCTACCACAGTTCATTGTAGAATGAAAATTAATATTGCCCCAACAAAACTTACATGAAGTATTCATGTAAGTGTTATTTTTTAAACGATTATTATAATTACTTCATTAATTAACAAAGAACACTGAATTGAGAAATTGATATGTGACAACAGCGTGAACTAAATAAATATCGCACTTTAGTAGACAGATAGTATAAACGGTGTACCCCCTCTACGAGTGCATAATTTCTCCTCAATAGAATAGGCAGTGCTTATCGGAACAGCAGGTTTATGAATAACGCTGGGCATATAACGGTTTCTTAATATTGTTCTGAAGCTATTTTCTTGTGGCATTGTAAATTAATTACTATTTAACTGGGAATAAGGCACAATTAAAGATAAAAATACGTTTATTGACGTTTCAATTTCCACTTGGAAATTGAAACTTGGAAATTGAAACGCCAATAAACGTATTTTTATCTGTAATTGTGGCTTATTCCCAGTTAAATAGTAATTAGCAGGTTTATGGTCTATCTATTTGATTTTTAGATGTGGTGGTAAAAGGTTGAAAACAAATAATTAACATGCCAAGTGTATATTTTCGAGAAGAAAAGATTCAAATGGTAATATGGGATCCATTCCTATTGTAGAAATAATACAGTTATTTATTGCTGCTTTTGAAAATCGCCCAATTCCGACAAAGAAACCAGTATTATCAATTATTAAAAACTTTTGAAAATTTCGGTTGCAGAAATACCTGTATGAAATGCATCGAGCCAAAAGACAAAAGAGGGAATCTAATCGTTATGAAAAGGAGACCAAAAAAGTGGCCTCTGATGGCGGACATATCCGGAAATGCGAATGCGCCAAATTTAAATTTTCCGACACTTACTAAGAATAGCTATAAAATATTTTTCAGACGAGAAAGTTTTAATTAAATATTAACGATAATAGTCTAAAATGTGACATAATTGGTAAAAAACTTCAATATAAATAAAATTTCATGTAACAGTGGGGACAAACAATAACATAACCAAACTAAATTTGATTTCTCAAACAAGAGACTGCCTTTCCTTGTTTAAAGTGACCTCTTAAGATGGCACTTCCTGTCTAACAATATTTTTGTCCCCACTACCTTTACATTCCCTCTTTTGTCTTTTTGCTCGATGATGAAATGTCGTCCAACGGATCAACCACGATCGAAACAAATCTCTGGTGAACGCGAAGCTTGCGAAATGCAAGTTTGTTTAAGAGCGTAGTCGCAAAATTTCGGGCCAATGCTTTTTAAACGCATTCATTTTTTTCGAATCCTGAGAAAACTAACAAATATTTTTAAAAAATTTAAGCGCAGAATGAAAGATTACATTATTACCGGGGGCCGAAAGTCCCTTGGAATAAACAGAAAGTGTTTTTGAATGAGATATTTGAAATTAAAAATCACACTAAATTTTCTTTTTTTTTTCACCCCTGTAACTTATTAAAATTAAACATTATAGAAGTTTTCAGGTACTTTCGGCCCTCGGTAATACTCTAACTCTTTCATTCTGCATTTAAATTTTTCAAAAATATTTATTAGTTTTCTCAGGATTCGAAAAAAATGAATGCATTTAAAAAGCATTGGTCCGAAATTTTACGCCTACGCTTATAACTGCGGAAGCACCGCCTTGTTCGAGTAAACAAATTGCGGACGAAGTTGATCTAAAGAAGAGAACTCTAAGGAATATTTTAAAAAGAAATAGATACAATTGCTGTAAAGTGCAAACTACTCAAGAAATTTTTCCAGACGATCATTTTAAACGTATGGAATTTTGTGAAACTATGATGGAGAAATCGAATTTTTAAAAAATGTTTTGTTTTCCGATGAATTTTCATTCACAATCTATAAACGTCATAATCCACCTGGCATTCGCTATCTGTCTAAAGAAAATAAACATTTGAGTATTGTTGTGAAAACAACAGTATCTAGGAAAAATGTATCTAGGTCTATTACGTAATCAGATTATTCTAGCAGTTCGAAACCTTGCGGTCAACTTCGATGATGTCTGGTTTTAACAGGATGGTTGCCCAGCACATAATGCAATCGAAGTTACAAATTATTTGGAACAAACATTTCCTGGACGATTAATTTCTACACGATTAACAATAATAGCTAGATCACCAAATTTAGCACCTTTGGATTTTTATTTCTGGGTAATGTTAAATTGCAAGAAAAAATTGTTCAACTCTGTAGTCTGCTACAGCCAAATTAGTTAGAATACCATAAGACTTGCTTTAGTTGATAGATTCGAATTTTGTTTAGCGCAAAATGGTAGTTTGTTCAAACATTTAATTGGTTAGAGATTTTTTTAAAAATGCCTTTAATTTTAATTATTTAGAATAATTTTTTAGTTGGTTTTTCTCTTACAAAATAATATTTATGTTTTGTTAATGTTAAGTTAATTATTGTTTTATTTCCAAGCTACCACAGTTAAAAATCTACCAGAATTGCATTTAAAACTTGAATATAAGTGTTTGAGTTTTTCCTAAGGTATGCCGGATAGCCGGATGTATCTTGGCGCTTCGCACCAATTCCTTAAATCAATGTTCTTTGTTAAGGCTGTTTTATCGGTGCACTAAAACCTAGGAACTGTTATTTACCGACAAAATGTCTCTAAATTTGGACACAATATTCGAAACTATATTGCTTTTAAAATGATGGTTTTACTTTTTTTATTTTTTTTTACTTCTGTTGAAAAATTGGATTATACTGTTTAACGTTCTATTATAACCAAACTTTTTTACGCCCATCGCTTGAAAGAGTTTTTTTTTCTGTAATCGTTGATTTTTTTTCACCTTTCTGTGTCCAGTAATTATCGAGAAAAGTGTGTTCAAACTTTGAAGAAAATTGCTAAAAAATACTAAAATCTAATAGTGAAACGTGTTACTCATCATTGTCGCTTAGGTCCACCGTTATCTCCTTCGTGACTTCAAATCTCATGAGCGTACGGTAAGTTAGTTCGCGTTCAAACTAATTTGAATGGAGAGTAATGCATTTGTTGCCCGTTGGCCGACGCCACTGAGTAAAGACAGTCTCGCGTAAGCAGTGTAGAAATGTAAGTGATACGCCCATTTCAAATCGCAGTGTGCTTGAACTGCTAAAACAGCCTTAACTAATTTAGTAATTGATAGAATCGATTAGAAAATAATAATTATGTCTACTTTTTTTAAGTTTTTTTGGGATAATATTAATTTTCATTCTCCAATGAACTGTAGTGGACTTAAATATTATTTTACACTCATGTATCGAAAACAAATTTTAGAAGGAAAGATGTAACAGAAATATAGCAACACTGTTTAAAAGCTATACCTACTCATTCGAGATGGTAACTGCCTCTCACTTCTGTTCAAACAATTAAGTACTATCTTTGTTCCACATATTGAATTACGTATTGCCATAATATTGTATTGTAAACTATTTTTAACATCTGATTAATTAAAATCGAATTGCCTTACTGACACATCATTAAATCTAATACGCTGTTTGTTTTCAGCTATATTTAGTAGCAAAAAGAAGGAAAAATTCCGTCCCCGGTTCATACCGGACTTATGCCAAAGAGGTGCCATTTTATGGCAAGTATTATTAGACGATAGTGGACAAGGACAACAAATAGAATGTTTCCTCGGCATTTCTTCGGATACGTTTATACTTATCGAAGAAAATTCTAGACAAATAGTTTTCGTAACGCCTTGTAAATCGATCCTGGGATGGTCACCTCAGACGAACAGTTTGAGGTTGTATCATCACCAAGGGGAGTGCATGACGATTCATATGAGGGATTCTCATGGAGACAGGGACGAACTTATGGAAATCATGGAGAGGTTGAAGGCTGTTACTTTTGGACACCTAGCGCAAGAGTTAACTATTAGGTAAGCATTCTTTTATTTTTCCTTTAGCTGTAATTACATATGCTTTTATTTTAATAACATAAGTCCGTGTGTATAAAACAAATGAAAACTAGAAATTTTAAAGTATTTGGGTGTAATGTATTATATATATATATATATATATATATATATATATATATATATATATATATATATATATATATATATACACAGAAGTAAACTTTAAATATTGGGTATGCAGCAATAAAAATGAAAGGTGTACTCTTTTAAATTTTTATTCCAAGCTTTCGGACATTGGTTATGTCCTTCATCAGGGAGCTACAAATGTGATGAATAATTTTTACAAATTTGTATAATTAATTAAAAATTCGATACTTACAAACTTAATGAGGTTGTCTCATAAATGATTTTATATAAATTGTTGATAAAATTTATCACAGTCTGTTGAGCTAAAACCTATTCCTATATTTAAAAATTTAAAAAATTAATTAACATTCACACAAACTTAATTATTTTTAAACAAATCTATGACATTGATATTGACATTGGCAAGTGAAAATCTCACATCCCTAATATCAAGCAACTGCTAGTACAACAAATTATAGGCTTATTATTAGGTATATCGTGGAAATATAAATTATTTTATATTTGTTAATATCATTAGGAAGTGAAACTTCAACCTGTCAATGTTTTAAAACAAAGCCTATTAAATTAACATAAATAAATAAGGTCGTAATTCTAAAAACGTTACAATTTATTGTGATTTTGTTTTGTATGACCCCAGTATCTGTGTGTAAACAAAAATTATTAAATTTAAACAAACTAACTTTGTAAAAAAATAAATTCCTCAAAAATGAACTTTTTAGTTACTTAAATGACAATTGATAAATTATTGTTTGTCTTATTGTTGCATTTATCTAGTAGTAACAAATAGGAGAACATTTCATTTAGATGGCCAATATCTGTTCTATGATTCATTGCATTATTATTTTGGCAAATGTAGGCCATTTCCAGAAAAAGTCTTTTGGTGATGTTACTTTCCTGTTCTACCACTTTGATGTTATTGTAGTTTATCCGATGCCCATTTTTAAATGCATGTTCACCCAATGCACTTCTTTCAGGATGTAGTCTATTATCAGACTTGTGAGATGTAATGCGGTCTTTAAGGCATCTTGATGTTTGACATATAGTCAATATGATAGTATACTTGTTCACATGAGCCGCACGGTATACAATAAACAACATCCGTTAAGGATAAGAGTGCGGATTGGTCTTTAAGTTTAGAAAAAACTTTGTTAACTGTTAGTACCGTTTTATACGCAATTTTGATATTATTAATCGATGAAAAAATTCTACTTAGTTTATGCCCAATGTCCTTAATGTATGGAAGAGATACATATCTAATTGTGGTTTGGTTTTGTAAAGGATCTACAGATCCAATCCTATCTTGTGATAAAGACATATTTTCTTCGTTTCTTAAATGACTATTTAAATATTGTGGAGTGTTAAACAAAATTTTCTTTAGTAGTATACTTGGGTATGAGTTTTCAATGAACAGGTTATAAAGGATTTTTAGATTTTTTGTATGGAAAGAGGTATCACTGATTTTAAGGACACGATTTTTCATTTCTTTAACTAAATTAAGTTTCATTGAATATTTATGATATGACCAATAATTGAGATATCGACCTGAACTGAGTGGTTTTCAGTACCAATCAACCAGCAAATGGGTACCTTTTCGTATTAACTTCGTATCTAAAAAAGGTACTGAACCTGTAGCATCTTCACATTCTAATGTAAATTGAATGTAGGGGTTGTAACTATTGAAATACCAAAGTATATCATTTATTCCTGTGTTTGGTAATGTTAATATTATGTCATCAACATATTTTTTTATAAAACGAAATTTATAAGGTAGGACAAGAAGGATGGTGTCTAGTATGTGGTCCATTACATAACAGGAAATTATTGGTGATATAGGGTTCCCCATAGGTGTACCAAAAGTTTGTTTGTAAAATTTTTTGTTAAATGAAAAATAATTATTTTCGAACAGAAAAGTTAACAGTTTGAAAAAAGTTTCTTTATCTATGTTACAATGTTGAGCAATATTCTCCCATTTATCACTAATGGCAAGTATACATATATCAAGATAAACATTGCTAAATAAGGATACTACATCTAGGCTCGCAATAACGTAGCCTTCTGGTAATTGTATGTTATTAAATAATTTATTAACTTGAAATGAGTCTTTAATATAGTATTCATTCTACATCCATACATAGTATACATCCTGAAAGAAGTGCATTGGGTGAACATGCATTTAAAAATGGGCATCGGATAAACTACAATAACATCAAAGTGGTAGAACAGGAAAGTAACATCACCAAAAGACTTTTTCTGGAAATGGCCTACATTTGCCAAAATAATAATGCAATGAATCATAGAACAGATATTGGCCATCTAAATGAAATGTTCTCCTATTTGTTACTACTAGATAAATGCAACAATAAGACAAACAATAATTTATCAATTGACATTTAAGTAACTAAAAAGTTCATTTTTGAGGAATTTATTTTTTTACAAAGTTAGTTTGTTTAAATTTAATAATTTTTGTTTACACACAGATACTGGGGTCATACAAAACAAAATCACAATAAATTGTAACGTTTTTAGAATTACGACCTTATTTATTTATGTTAATTTAATAGGCTTTGTTTTAAAACATTGACAGGTTGAAGTTTCACTTCCTAATGATATTAACAAATATAAAATAATTTATATTTCCACGATATACCTAATAATAAGCCTATAATTTGTTGTACTAGCAGTTGCTTGATATTAGGGATGTGAGATTTTCACTTGCCAATGTCAATATCAATGTCATAGATTTGTTTAAAAATAATTAAGTTTGTGTGAATGTTAATTAATTTTTTAAAATTTTAAATATAGGAATAGGTTTTAGCTCAACAGACTGTGATAAATTTTATCAACAATTTATATAAAATCATTTATGAGACAACCTCATTAAGTTTGTAAGTATCGAATTTTTAATTAATTATACAAATTTGTAAAAATTATTCATCACATTTGTAGCTCCCTGATGAAGGACATAACCAATGTCCCAAAAGCTTGGAATAAAAATTTAAAAGAGTACACCTTTCATTTTTATTGCTGCATACCCAATATTTAAAGTTTACTTCCTTACGTGCTCAGCAAATACTTCTGGTTCATTATATATATATATATATATATATATATATATATATATATATATATATATATATATATATATATATATATATATTCTTATGTAGTGCTTATTCTTAACGGATGTTGGATATTAATACGGCTATTCTGACTTCATTAACCGTTGCTCTAAAAAGTAGTAATAATTAGGTTGAACTATATTGCACAGATTGTGCAGCCAGGATATTCTTTTCCTTCTTGGACTTATTTTTCGGCTTGCCTTGCCTTTTAATCTGGATTTAAACAGGTTATATCATTGTCCATTGCGCATTATGTAGCCCAGTATGTACTAGTTTGTGTCATTTTATGGTTATGCTTTTATACATATATTTTACTACATATTATCTGTAGCACGATATCTTTTCTCCTCGAGTCTTTCCATGCATGCCTTTGTTAAAGTCCACGATTTCACGAATTCGTAATACTTCGCATAAATACATTTGACCTAAAGACACTTGACTTAAGATAAATTAGCTAGAGAATATTTGACTTAATGTCATTTGACCTAACCTCATTTGACCTAAAATCATTTGACCTACTGGTAATTTAATCCAATAGAGGTTTAATCTAATGTAAATTAAATTTCTCTACAAAATTCGATGTTGGATGTGCTTCTTAAAATTCCATATATTTTATCGAAATTGTGATTTCGGCACGATGACAATAAAACTTGTGTTTCAAAGGTTTTCAAAAATTTAGCTTGAGGGAGAGTGTATGTAATTGATACTTAACGCTTGTTCATGAACTCCCGACACGAACCCTCTTCGTATTATGGCGCTGATTTTTTTGATCAAATCTCTCTTTAACGTTTCATAAAGTAGAATTTAGACTTGTGGCGTATCAGGGCAGCATTTATCGATGCTGCATGATGAACATAGACAGCATTTCTAATTAGATTTTTGAGACATCCATTAATATTTCTTATAAAGAAAAATGACATTAAAACTGGATTATAGCACAGATCAAAAACAGTAGAACATACATAATTAGTTTAAAAATGTCAACAGGCTTCTCGGTTTCATTAGCCGAGCAAATAAGTCCGATTGTCCGAAAAGGCCTGGGATGCATGTCAGTGAGTTAAAGCATGCTAACGAGGATGACTCTGTTAATTAAATATATAATATTGATTAAATTTTTCTGATAACAGTTTAATTGAAGCTTTATTATTGAAGTGTAATAACGTCAAATGTCTAGGTTCTTATGTCAAAGGATTTTAGGTTAAATCTTCATTAGGTGAAATGTTCATTAGTTTTAATAATATAATATAATATAATAATAAGGTCAAATGCCCATTAAGTTAAGTGTCTTCAGCGAAATGTCTTTAGGTCAAGTGGTCTAGGTAAATTGATGCCATATCCACTCCATACAGAAGAACAGAAAAGATATAGCACGTTGAAGGGCTTATGATATGACGGCTTCTTACATCTATCGATTTTAAACTGTCATTTACTATTTTATTTTGATCGGAATTCACTTAATAGGGTAATTTCTCTGCCATTGCTATTGGTTCTAAAATTGTATTTATTGAAAATATATTATGATTTTAACTATTTTCTTTGGATTGTCTTACATTAAATCAGTTATATAAGTTGGGAATCTGCGATGTAAAAGCACAAGACTAATCATTATTGTACATACAATACAAATAGTACATACAGTATGCGCCCAGTAAGTTTCTCCCCTCAAAATATTTTCTGAACCAGATAATTACTTTTAATGATAATAATAACTTTTAATGAATGAATTTCTGGATAAATGAGCAGACGCCACTAAAT